GCCTTACTAGTAGTAACAAGAAGCTAGTAGAAACAAGTGCCTCGCTACTAGTAACAAGTGCCTTACTAGTAGTAACAAGAAGCTAGTAGAAACAAGTGCCTCGCTACTAGTAACAAGTGCCTTCCTTATGAATCCTTTCCTCCCGCCTATCCGACCATCCCGTCAGACGCCACTGCAGCGCCGTGCGACGCTGGGGCGCGCGCTGCGCGCCCTCCGGGGCTGGAGCAGAGAGGCCGTGGGCAGTTTCAATGTGACCCATGAGTTCGATGACAATAGACGATAGTAGACGGGTGAATCAATTTAGACATGTTTTACATAGGTGAAAAGAACTATTGGTTTGTGGGTCGGGTGCCTTTTAAACGTGTATATATATAACATATATATATATATTAGCTTGTACTGGGTGAGCAATGGTGTGGAAATGCTAGAGATGAACACCGAGGCAGTTGAGAGTGCCAACAGAGACACATTTTAGCTGGAGAGTATATAAGAACCTCCAAACAGGAACATGTGTGAGATGTGGTTTAAGTTTAGCCTAAAGCCAGAATGACATCTTGAAGACTTGAAGACAATGTTGCTCCAGTGCGGGACATGCGAGGAAAGTCGGGATCATCCATCGCTCTCTCCCTTCACAAGGTCACGACTTGACACAGGCACCAATGAGCTTTAAGCAGGATGCGATTCAGTCAAAAAGAGGGGAACAGGTTACAGGTTAAGTTTCCACAAGCAGCAAGCAAAATAATATCTGGGACCTAGGAACCAAGTCAATCATGTGAAGGGTTAGTTCTTCAGGCAGGGAAGTGTTTTTGAAGACGCCTGAGCTTTTCTGCATCCAAGCCAGTAACGGCCTACTTACTAGCTACTCCTCTTGCTTGCTTTCAAGGCCTTCACGGCCCTTTCCCCCCAAAAGAAAGAAGTGCGGATGCCGGAGGAGAAGAGTTGCGCGGAGCAGTTTGCGCTGCCAGTGGCTGAAGCCTTGGAGACCGTCCGGTGGATCTTGGAGGCAGTGGACCAAACCAGGGATGTTGTGACCTTCGGTCTCAGCGGAAGGGCCTAAAGGGACCATTGTGGAAATCTGTTCTGTTCAGCCAAAATAAGTAGGATTTACTCCAACTGGTGATGAGCTATTACGACTTGCAGCTGAAAGGCATATCCAGTGAGTTGTGCTTGGTTGTCAATACGACTAATTAGCGGAAGTCCAAAGGATGATACTGTACTGTACATTGTACTTATACATACTTACACATATATACAGTAATATATAGAGACATTGAACTTCAATTGGCCTGTCTTGTTTGCCGGATACATTTCTACAGTGATAAAGATGCTGCAACCCATAGACATGCGGGTGCAAGGGTTGCACGCAAGTGCTCAAAATCCATGGACAGGGAAAGAGTCCGTTTGGACACCCAAAAGCCGCCATTTGTACGTCAAACGCTGTTGTCTTGTGGTTTCCCACTCGTCACCCTGTTCACAAGCCGTTTTTGGACAAACAAAAGCTGCACAGGTCTTTTTGTTCTGAAAGGGCTATTATGTGCTGTTTGCTTGTCCTTGGTCAATTATATGATTTGAGATGAAGCTGTTTTAAGGGAAATCTGTTGAGCTTGAAATATAACGGTTTCCTTCCTCACAGTCTGTCTTCTATTGGCACCCACGGGCAATGCCTTCCAGAAAAAGAGTATGGTTAATGCCTGCAACAAATCGAGAGAATACAATAATCATCTTGGGAACATGTTGTTCTGGACTCTGCAGTTCCCTCTCTCACCACAAGTTCTCAACAGGTAAAATCTGTCAATACCTTTCTCACAAGATTTGCTCAAGCTTTTGAAGGTGAATCCATTCTTGCAGTTCTTGAACATTTCATTTGTCCAGTATGCATGTCGGCCCTTGTTCCACTCGCACCCACTCGCCCTAAATCGAGGCAGGTGAGCCCCTGGTGATGCAAGTCTTGGAGTCCAGGCAGCCTGTCTGCCAGTGGGGAGACAATCCAAAAATCGAGTCTGAAGGAAAATGGATAGCCACTGAACACGGAAGGTGCGTAAACGGCGTATACTGTACCTATAGACATAGGATTTCCCTATCCTAGGTGGTAGGAGTTCAGGTTTTGCCCATGTCAGCAGGAGCGCCTTTCTTCCGACTTGGTTGATGTAGAGCTGGGTATTTGTCCTTGTGAAAATGCTGTTTGGCTCCACTGGTGCCTTTTCTGGTTGGTGGAATTGTGAGTTGTCATGAATCTGCGTTCTGCATCAAAAGGGAGAAAAAGTAGGTCTACGATTCTGAAGATGAAGCATACTGTAGTAAACTCAGAGGAATACCATTCCGGGGCTTCTCAGTTGTGAATATTCATTCAATGTTGAATGATGCTGAATGATCAGATAATCCTTTAGTGTTGACTTTTTCAGAGAACTCGGCAGAGGTCCTCCTAGACTGTCGACGGTTTTCACCAACTCAGTGCGCGGACGCACCGAGCAGCTGTGTGGCGGTGGTGCAGATGTGAGGATTTTTGAGAGTGGCCTCTTCCAGAAGTCCTTCAGCTCCTCTCACCTCGGATCCTCGGAGAAAAGTTGGATGGGTCCGGAGCATCAGAGACTGTTCCGGTTGTTCCTCGGAATGCTACGATGTCACAGTTGGCATTTGTTGTGTGCAATCTGACAATTCAAAGCAAGAGTCATCATACAAGTCACACCAATGGTTTCTTTGGGATCATCGTGACAAGGTCAGCGATACAGATGTTCTTCCATGATGGATGCGACCATTGAAGCAACAATTGAAGGAAGATGTCCAGAATGAGATGAATGTGGTACCTGAAGATTCTCTAGATTTCTTCCAGCAACACTATAACATTTGAGGGACCTTGAATTGCTGAATGTTGCTCAATTGCACACAACGGAGGGTGATTTGAGATTCGAGGCTTTTTTGTTGTCGGTTGAAAGCTAGCTATATGATTTCGATTGAGGTTTACGTCGAAGCGCGCTACGGCTCCTGAGTGCACTGCTGGCGGCAGATTTTCCTCAATCAGTGCCTGCGATCTTTAAGGCGACCCGGGATAGTCCATGCCATGAAGATCATAGACCTGTCGGGTTTTAGGCTCTCTCAAACCCAGATTTGGTTTGATCGGTTTGATTTGGACGCTCCAGCTGGATCTCCTGCAGAGCAAAGGAGGATCAGCTTGGTATTAGTTCATATTGGGAAAGCCAAGTGATCAATTAGAAAGGTGACATTCCCCTGCACTAGTAGCTATATAGTACAGAAGTTCAGGGGGAGGGAGTCTGGAAATTGGTGTGCTTTCCCACGCCACTGGCAATTATGCAACTAATTCTACGACTCTACACGTGTTTTTCCTCTTCAGCTTGTCCTCTACAGTCATACAGGGACCCTGTACGCTAGATGATGTTGTTTTTTGATTTGTTTTTGTTTTTTTGAGGTTTCTTTATTTCTTCATTTGCCTTCTTCTATGCTGGAGCTGCAAAGCCCTACTTGTAGCTGCCTGGAAGATGCAGATGGAAAGTCAAAAAGAGAAGCCAAGAGGAATCCCAGCACGACTCACTTGGCTCGCTGCACAAGCTGCATGACCGCAATCACGTCAACACAGAGCACTTGGCGACGAGAAGTCATAGGGCTTGAAGTCGCAATAAGACGACGTTTTCCATTCACAGATCCTCACAGGGTGAATATCTGGATTCTTCACAGATCCTCACAGGCAGGCCTCTGGACTTCTGCTTTGGCAGCTGCTGAGGTGGGACCGTCGTTTCTGTGCTTCTTTTTCACCACGGGTTTCATGGGTCTACTGCCGCGGTCATTGGGTCGAACGGTTGGATGATGTGGATGCATCGACCTTGCTGATCCGTGATCGTTCCCTTTCATTCAATGGGCACGACAATTTCACAGTACAAGACACTTGTCAAAAGGGGCTTGCGTAATGGAAGCAATAGAACCTCCAGATCCCCGTGAATCGGTTCTTGCTAAGAAGACACGAGAGAGTTTGGTATCCCGAAAAGACGTAGATGCTGAAAATCGTCAATTAGCCAGTCAGTGTTTATTTGGCTTCATTCGTTTTGTTTGCTGTGTCGGCTGTTTCCGGCTGTGTTATTTTGATTGCTTCTACCAAGTAACAGAAGACACTGCAGAACTGGTGCTGGGCACTTAGTTTGTCAGATAGCGACTCCTAAGACCTGGTTCTGATCTGAAGCGAAGCTATGGAGCTCCGTGACTTGCATTCTCGATGCACAGGTCGAGGAGCAGAGCTTGGATTCCTGTACTGTGACGACAGATTTGGTGCTCTTGGTCATGCAAGGCCGATGTGCTTCAGCTCCGTTTGGAGCGAAGGATGGGCGTAAGAGCGTGCAATGTTGCTGGAAAAGAGCATGCTCGGGGGTTCTTGAAAGCGCTTCTGATTGCAAGAAACTCTTTTTTGTATTGTAGTAATGCCCTTGTTCCTAGTAGCGATGCACCTTGCCACTAGTAGCTTCTTGTTCCTAGTAGACATGCCAGGAGCTACTAGTAGCTTCTTGCTACTAGTAGTAGTAATGCCCTTGTTACAATGTGTTGTTACCTGCGTAGATATGTCTCAATCTATGGAGTTGTGTTGTCTGAATGAGGGGACCTACAACAAATGAGAGATGTCTTTGTCAGATATGTTTTTTGAATAAGCCTCAAATGGCTACTTTAAGGATCCCCAGGCAACTGTAGCAGTCACTGCATCAATATTCTAGACAGCCTTGCAGCTGTCTCTTGGAGTATATGCATACAAAACTTGAAGTATGGTGCACCTTGGATTTTGGCATTTCTCTCACTCTTAACAGCTTCTCGCATTGGGTTCTTATTGAAGCACGCTTGCTCCAATAGGTTCCATCATCCGTTTGGACCATGGGGAGGTATGCTGCTTTGACAAATAACACAAAGGCAGTCATCATCACCGGCAGCTCACATCATTACTTGGCAGGTAGCGGAGAAGATTCGCAGCTGCTGCTGTGGCTTTGCAAGAGCACATCGTTTTTACAAGACTGGCAGCACGTGTTGCAATACCTGGGCACATTTGCGAAGAAGGCAGAAGTGCAAGGCACCATTGCGGGTACAAGTCCTGGCTTCCCGATTTTCGCGGCTTTGATTTCCTGTTTGCTTTGATTGGAGTTATTACTCGGCCTTCAGTAGTTGAGTGACAAGCTGATCGAAATTGACTTGGTCAATGTGTTTCTTTTTCTGGATTTGCACTTGGGATGTCCGTGTCCAGCTACAATCGTTCCCGGTGTGTCAAATGCATACAATTCCTACACTGCACCCCACGAGATCATCCATGGTGCCGGTGTATGCGGATTCCGTCGTGTCTCCGTTGGATGCTGTGAGGCGACAGAACCTCTCGGCTGGCCGAACTGTTGCGAAGCTTGGTAACACGAGGGGTGTTTGAGCGATGCTGCTGTTCTGCGTACAGAAGGAAGGCCTAAGAAAGATCTAAACCAAAGAGACAGCACGAAGGTTCGGTGGTTGATTCCAGTGGTTGATCTGCTCATGTAGGCTTCTTGAGGGGGTTACCAATCGGGGAAAGGGATGAGAAGTTGAGAGGTCCAAGCCGCATTGGAACATTGGTATCATGGCAATCCATCACTAATTTGAGATCCTTTCCCAGGACCACGTGGTGGTGTTTGGAGTTCGTTGTTCCCTTTTTATGTTTTCTAGGACTTTGACTTTGACTGTCCAAGAGCCGGCAAGCCAATGTGGCTGTCCATATTGCCCTATGAATAGCAAGTATGCTCTTGTAAAGAGTTTGCAACTCAACTTGTTGTTCAGCCTCGTGCTCTCCACCTGAAAGGGCAGCCTCCTTGTCTTGGCGGACAGTGCAGTAAGACGGGGTTATATACTGGGGCCCAAATGTTGAGCAGCTATATGGGTCCTTTGATTATTTCACTCTTCGAATCTTCGAAGCGTTGTTACCAGACTCTCATTTCCATGACTCAATGATAGACCTGCAAGGAGACAGTTGTTTGTTTGATTGACATCCGTAGAAATATTCCTTGGAAGCTTAGCATGTTTGCTTTGGATCCATTATATGATGTCCTATGACAGACCCTCCTGGGCGGTGGCTGACTTGCCGGTCTAGGACTGCATTTGGTGGCCTTGTTACGCTTGATGGAGCTCTGGGAGGAGGATATGGAATCCATTCTGTGATGTTGAGTGAGTTTGCTATCCAGGTGCAATGTTTGGACCCCAATTGAGACTGCCTACCCACAAAGCCTTTTGTCCGCATCGTTTCGGAGGGCCCATGGCACGCGGCAGGACTTCCAGGATTTTCTTTTCTCCTGGCAAGTGCAGCTGGCCTTGTGCGAAGCTCTTCAGGTCGACTTGAGGGATGTGGAGATGTGGAGATCCAAAAACACTGGCTCTAGGCTTCAGGATGCGCAAGGTGTTATTGGTTTCTCATTCAAACATGTTTGCCACCTAAGTTGTGGCATCATGGACTGGATGATGTTCTTTGTAACTTGATGACGTTATATGGTGTTCACCTGAAATCTTCAACAACTTTGCCTTCATTCCAGGCAGATTTCCCAGCGGAGACGCGGCACGTTGCCACAGCTGCCTTGGCTTCCTGGGCCGGGCGTCGTGTGAACCGCGTGACGCAGGCGAGGTGGGTTCAACATGGTTCAACCAGTAGTCGAAGGAGGTCGTCCATGGAGGATTTTGCATCGTTTTGTGTGTAGAATTTACTGCACAGCAGCATAACCAGTGATACCATGTGTATTTTGTTACCAAGCCAAGAAGCATGCGCGGGAAAATGTTCTTTTTGTACAGTACTGTTTGTACTGGGATTGTTGGGCTTGATGCGGGAAAAATGTGTAACCGGGGTCACTGTAGATGTTTCAATTGATTTTCATCCAGGTCCAGACATATCACACAGTCTTGAACCCTCCAAGAGCTGACGTTGGATGCTTGCGTTCACCTTTTTAGAAAGCCAGCTGCGGAATCCAGATGAGTACAGTGCTTCCAAATGTCATGACCTAGGAGCCCATCTATACTGTAACAGACGACAACGAGATTAACCTGCCATTGGTGATTTCCCGCTAGGAGACCATGACGAGCGACGATGAGCTCTTGGGCCACCGTGCTGCGCAGGGTTTCTTGCGAGTTCTGAGCACCTTGTTTCATGGGAGGGAGGAGTGAGGCGATTCAATCATGGCGAGTCTTTTGATCACTTTGACGACCATGGGACTTAAGCTTTGGAGTGGGTTTCACGTGGAAGTGCTGCAAATATGTTTTGGTTCACTTGGGGACGCACGAGTCATGCCTAGTTCATTAGGGGAATAGTCGGAAGTGAGTATACAGTATAGATTCATATAATATAGATTCATCTAATTCCATCGGATCTAAACGCCCATGGTTATTTTCCCAAGTCCACCGTTCCACGTATTTCTGGTCGCGACTCTTATCGAGGCAGTGACAGTCAAGCCAAGTGGCTGACGACCTCAGCAGCCGCAGCCGCAAACCTCTACGCAGCATCACCGTTGGCCGCCACTGGGTGAAGTTGGACACGTTTCGGAAGTTCGCAAAGTTGGAAGTTTGCCAAGTAAATCTGAAACACCTGTGTTTTTACAAACGCTCCAAAGCGTGTGTCTCGCATGTAACATGTATGTAACATGTATGTTTGATCGAGCATGTGCAGTCATGCAGAGTCGACGGATCATTGGGCCAGGAGTCCGCAAGAATGAAGTAATACTTCCTGCGAGATGTTCTTGCAAACAGAAAATCAGCTGACAAGAGTGCATGTTCCTGTAGAAATATGAAACCTACATCAATGATGTAGATTCAGTCCTATAGTCCTCAACAAGCTGTGAAACTTATGTGGCAAAGAGCAGAACTTCCTTACGTGGGACAAGTTGAACAAAGGCCTCTGGCGCCATCTCCGAGCTGCCGCAGCTCAGCAGAGCCTTGGAGCAACTGGCGGCCATGCGCAGGCACTGAGCGGAGCACGCAGAGCTGGTGCAAGCGAAGTGGGAAGTCATGAGAGAAGGAGGGAGTGGCGACTACTTGCTGACGTGAAAAAAATGCTCGTGGAGGAACAAGTAGTAATTATCAATGTCAGCATATATATGGTTTTACAGACACTGTTGTTCCATTTCCATATTTGCATATGATATGCTGAACAAGGCCTTTGCCGATTGACTCACGCGAGGCATCAGCAGCTGATCTGGGTGATGCGCGTCTTCTTTGCGATGCTCATCTCTTCCGCAGATGCACTTGCAGGAGAGAGAGAGAGAGAGAGACATCGATCAACTGGACCGCTTGAAGTGGACCGTGAGTGGTTCCGTTCATCGTTCGTGGAATATTGATCCGAATACATCCAAATATGAAATATATAGATTAAACATCATTCGGGGCCAGCGGCTAGAGTCCTGTTTTCAATGACAGACAGAGATGGCGAGCTGTTTGGATTGTGTTCATTCTTACTGTAATACATTGTACCAGCAAGAACCAGAGGCAAATGTTTGTCGAAAGATGTTTTTTGTCAGTTCTTTGCCATGGATTGCAGACTGCCGCGCAGCTCAAAGGGTAGAACATCAGTTCCACTTGGGTTCGCACGAACATGGCCGATCAATGTCTGGGTGTGTGGGTGTGTGGGTAAACAAGATGACACTCAATCTGGCTTGATTGAGATCGTGACACAAAGTAGAGCACAGATTCTGTTTCTTTTGTTGGAAAGGTTGATTGCTTGGCTACTATGCTTTGAAAGGGTTTAGCCATAATGAGGCCTGCACTGTAGTAGAAACTGGTAGAAACAGTTTATTCTCACATCAGGAGCACATGCAGGAGGTTCGCTGGCATCAGCGCTCCCCAGCTGAAACTGTCTCGGATTGTTAAAAAGAGTCACATGTTGACGTGTTGGTTTTGGGTCAGTCAGTGCGATTGTCCAATTGTGTTGTTGATTTTATTCTACAAGCAGCAGAGTTCGTTGTGTGCATGTTTTCCGCAGATACATAATGTAGCATAATGTATACAATCAATAATTATGACCGTATATGTATCTAGGGATGTGTTTTGTTTCAACCAATTAGAGTGTTGGTTCCAGAACATGTCTCTGCTCGGAGTTCAAGGTGGTTCTCGGACCCATCCGGAACTCTCTCCATCGACCGACATGAAACTCGTGGAAGATGGCTCCACGCTTCGGGTGTTTTGTGTTGACTGTTTGGTCTTAATCAATCGCTTCCGCCTGCTTAGCATCGAAAGAAATGCACCTCTAGCGGGCCCTCTAGGTTGGGTGATGCCTACAATTCTCAAGAGTGCTTGATTTTGAGAAAAGCTCATTTGATCAACTTCAAGACGTACGGACTACATTGACTGACGTTCTATATATTTGTTTTTCCCCTCGAAGGGTAGCCCTGCACATGGCACTGCTGTGATTCAGGGTCATGGAAGAAGACGATAATGGGTAACTGGGCAACTACTGCGGACTTGCAATTGCGATTTTTGAAAGGAGATCACTCATAAACTTGTGCTCTTGAGGCTGCTTGCCATCAGAGCCAGTGCCGACAGAGACGAGGAGACTAATCTTGGAATGGCTAGTGCAACTGTACTCTTTGTGATGTTTGACCGGAGGTGGCATATGGCAGCATCACGAAAGCCCCAGTTATACACTGGTGTTGATATTCCACATGACAGCTGGGGCAGGAGTCGACCAAGGTTCAGCACCGAAAAAGTCTTGTGGTGCCAAGAAGAATGTACAAGCCTCTTGTTGCTGAGTGGAACATGAGTCATGTTGAACCATGGTGATTTGGATTTAATTCAGTGTGGATGTAGCGAGCCCAGTGGATCCTTGGTTGGGAGCAGTTGACCATCAGTTCATCCTAGTTACAGTACCTACGTAGTTCTAGGGTGTGAAGTTTGGTCTGCAGAATCATATCCCATGACAACTCCTCCAGGCAGTTTGCCTGGAATTCCTGGAGCAGCTCTCAAAACTTGCTGAAGCTTTGGTGCAGCTCAAGGCCGTCGCTAAGTCGAGCCTTTTTTGAGTTGAAGCGTTGCCTAAGTTGTAAAGAAGTGTTCATTCATCAAACGGGTCGTTGAGAAGGACCTGATAGCCCTGCAAATAGATCAAATAGCAACTAGCGCATCTCTTTTGTGATTTTTTGGGTAGGGCTTTTTTGCACAGTCCCATGGCCTTGCTCCCTGGAATTTGGCAGCCATCCAAGGAGGTGTTCTTCTTTATTTTGTTTACCCTGCTTTCAGGAGGTGACATATATAATACTATACCACCAAGCGGCCAGGATGAAGAGGTGTGGTCACAGCTTTTGAGCTGGCTCATGCGGCTCAGCATGAAGAAACAACTCCCAAGTGCTGCCTTTTGTTGCGCCGCTTGGATCAAAGTGGATTTTGGACGTGCTTGAAGATCCGAGACCATCGAGTCGAAGGGAGACCATTGAGTCGCTGCACGGCATACCAACATGAAGAAAACTTCCTCCAGGGAGAACAAAGACCATCAGCCTTGAATATGTGAAACATATTTGCAATGTGAGTATGTCGTTATACGCTTGCCCATACAAATGTGTAGGTGTTTTGTCGTTTGAAGTAGTATTGCTCAGGGAGGTGAATTGCCAAATCTAATGACTGTGTTTCTTCTAAATGGGGTTTTCTTTGGGAACAAGTGGGTGTGGGTCAATGGCTGACATCAAAAGCAACAGTGCTTTTCTTATTGGGCATGCAAAGCCTCCAGGGAGTTGCTTAGAAGGAAGGGAGGAAGCATCCGTTCTGCTTTGGACTCCAAGAGAAACTGATTTGCTCTAATGTGTCACCCAGTGAGCAAAACAGGTGATGGACATCCTGTGCCTTTCCAGTGAGATCTTAGCACCTTGGAAGCCAACTGGAATATTCCAGCGTGCACAGGTGACTCTTCAACTCATACTTGGGAGACAGAGAGACACGTGACACGTTTGTTATTAGCGATGCCCTCCAACCTACTAGCCATGCCGCCTCCAACCTACTAGCGAAGGCCTCCAACCTAAGTGGCCTCCAACCTAAGAGCGAAGGCCTCCAACCTCCAATAATATGGCTGCCATCCATTGTATTTACTGCATGTATTGAGATGTGATATTTGAGGGTGCGGACCTTGACTGCATTGTCCATTTCCCCTTGGCTCAATGATCATTTGTAAGGTCCGGTCAAAGTTCCGAGGGCTCTCTACCAGGGTGCATGTTTGTCGGTGAATATCCAAGATAGTGTGATGTGGTTGCCCCTTGCCCCTTGCCTGGCTTTGCCATAGTGCGCAGTCTTCTGATTTGGCTGGCAATCCTTGTTCCAAAAACTATATCTGCAACGGTGGTTTATCATGTCGAGGGCTATATGGTTCAGCAGTTGGATAAGCCCAAACTGTCAAGGAGGCTGGTCCATGGCCAAACCAATGTGTCCATTAACGAGTGTTTTCTTAGGGGTGATGTGCGTGCAGCTTTAAAATCCCATCCCTTTTTGCAGGACAGAACATTGGACACCTAATTAGGTATCCTGTACATTTATATAAGCCCAAAAACGAGGCTTGTGGACGTGGAAGCCCATGCGTCGCGTGTGGACGCGTGGACACGTCATGCGGCCTTCTCGTCTCCTGGTTCCGTCCGATAAGGCCGGGAAGCCCATGCTCTTCCGATACTTGAGCCAGCTCATGGAGGCGAGGAAGACCGTGCCGGGAGACTGGTGTCCGTCTTTCTCCCGGAAGAATTCGTTTCACAGCGGGACTCGGATCCTATCTAGACACGGGTTTGGGCATGTTCTTGATGTTTTGTGGGTCCATGCTGCGAAATCGATGGCTTTGTTTTGTTTTAATGGTTTTCTTTGTGCAAAACAACGTACAAATTATCGGCAGGTCAGGGAAATTCAGAGAAAGGGTAAGCAGACTCTTTGAAGAGATCTTTGGCCTTTAAGCTTGGGGTGGGCTACTGGTAGCAAGAAGCTACTAGTAGCTCCTGGCATTACTACAGTACTAGGAGCAAGAAGCTACTAGTAACAAGGGCATCGCTACTAGCAGCTTCTTGCACTTTGACTTTGGCGATTTCCAGGCGATCCAAAGTCTTTCTAAGACATCGAGCTCGATGTCGTCTCGCTGGAGAAGCAAACGGCTTTGCGTATCTTGGCAGGTGTGGAATTTCATGAGACCCACGGTAGATGGACAAGGAATTGAACGCACTGCAGAATGAAGGGAACACCCCAGATCAGATCCATGAATACTTAATGATTACGGGTCAAACTTGTTGGGAGAAAACGATTGGCATCAGTATTGAACAGGTCCGACAAAGGGTTCTGGAATACAAGCTTGATTAATGGGATGGATACCCTTGACCCAGATCCTGATAGCTGTGCATTGGGTGTGGTAAATTCGATCTGCAAAGGAATTGTGTTCATCATTGGCGGTTTGCTGTGGAGCTACATGGCCCGTTATTCCATGTGAATATGTTGCAGCAAGAACCTAGACACCTCAAGGATACTGGAGGTATCATTAGGTATCACTAAGAACCATGGATTTTGCACCTGGATCCTCGACAGTGTGCCCTTAAATCAATCAGTGTGCCCGGCTGTGCCAAACAATAGCGTGTGGAGATCATGAAGCATCGCCCTTGAGGTGCAAGGTCCGGCAGGAAGAGACAGCTCACGTTGTTATCTATTTGCTTCTATAGTAGCTAGCTTCGCGAATGCATATGACCAGTGACCGTGAAAAGCATTGCTTTGGAAGCGGTTGGCCTTGACACACATTACTTGGCATTTGACGTTGGTTGCAATGAACAGACCTCACTCAACTAAGCGATCAGCGAGCGGCCTTTGATCACTGGATGATAGGGCAACGTCCCCTGTTGAGGAGCACAGCACGTTGGTTGGCGTGTTCTTCGCACACATGTTCTCCACAAAGACTGCAAAGGCAAGCTCCTTCTTTACTGGAACACATATGAGCTTGAACATGCTTGAACCGTTAAACAAAAAGGCGCAAACACCACCATGTTGTGACATTCTATAACGAGCGCAGAATACAGTTGAAATCACATGCAAGAGACGCACTATTGGACCAACCGGCAGTTGGGATTACTTTTGGATAACTGGTCAGTTGATCATGCATCGTCAGTTGTCCAGCGGCACTCCACACAAGCGCAGCAAAACTGTGAACCTGCAGCAGAAGTAATCAACAGAAACGCTTCCCTCAGCTCATAGATTGCTCAAGCCGTAGGAAAGCGGGATTTCATGATTTGTTGAAAAGCATCTCCAGCTGCTTTAATAAGTATCAGTGAAGAACTTGGACTCAACGTTCTTGACTTGGACTGGAGCGTCAGTCGACTCAGGCTGCGATGAACTTTATCGCATCCATACAGATGTGTCCTAGGAGAGCTGGCCACTCTTTGGTTTGCTTCACTTGACGGTTGACCATGTTGTCCTTCAAGTTGTCCAAAAACCTAAGACCTCACCGTCTTGACTTCACCTCCTATGTGAAATGCACCCCCTCTGTCCCTCGAAAGAGAAGGACCACTGACCGTCCGCTGGTTGGTTGAGGACTCTCAAAAGCGATCCAAATCCATCCACGAATGGTCGGTGGATGTCGGTGGATACGCCCTCTTGGATGAGATCTGCTTGTGTTTGGTAGGAGTTGCTTCGTTTGATCCTCTACAATGGAATCATGGATGCAACTTCTGTTGCATACGTTAATACGTTCCTCTGAACATTTGGGCAGTTTGGTCCTTCAGTAGTTGGCCATTGAGACCTGCTGACCTTTTGTTCCAGGAGCACTGCGATCCTCACAGGTTCGGGCGCAGCAGGAGAAGTTCGCAGGCGCCTGGGATGAAGATGGGGAGACCTCAAAAGACTGATAGAAGGGAAATGAAGTGAACAGCATGCAGAAGTAGATTTAAAGCCACTTATAGTGGAAGATTGCCTTTTGTATGACAATTTTCCTTTTAAACAGGTGGTTTTCCACGTCCATGATTATTTCAGGGACTGTATGTCCATGCTTAAAGAGGGATCGCTGGGGGTCACTACTCTCGCTTATATGGGTGACTTGCTGAGGTACAGGGCTGTGACTGGAAAGGCAGATGAATTGGCATGTGTTGCAGACATTTATTTCACTCCAGTGGCACTGGCAGGGAGGCCACTGTTTTTTGGATACTCTTTTATACTCAAGCAACAGATTGACGGATTCTTGGCCATATGATGCCATATTGTGGTTATAATTATGGGGTTATATAAGTCTTGTTTTGTTGCTTTTTGGTTCGTGGTTGCAGGAAAGTGCAAGGCAGCTAGGACGGATACGTATACCTTCCAGTTCCAGCAGGAAAGTAGGATGCATTGGGTGGCCACATGTACATATTATAAGTGTATATATATATAGACATACGTAATACTGCTTTATAGAATTAACTCTTACTAGAGTCTAGCGGCTAGCCGCTATGGTGTTTTCTCCGACTGTGTTGCGCCTGCCATCTAGAAAGCTTCCACATGCGTCAAAAGACCCTTTTGTGCGATCATCAGATCATCCGATTGCATCACCAAGCAAACAGTCCGATTCATGTGCTGGCTATGTTCATGCATGGTTTGGTTCTGTTTGGAGCTGCTGAGCCAGGCGACACTTGTCGGCCCCTTTGGAAGCAGGCGCCACATGGACCCGTGCAGTCGCCACGAGAAGCGATCTGGCTTTGTTGAGACAATATGGACATCCGTCCAATCTGGAAAGACCCTTGGTTGACATCCCTACCGAATCTCTTATCAAGATGAGATTCCCTTGGTTGGTCTGATGAATCCACACAAGAAAGATCGAAGGTTCGCATATACTGTAAGGCTCTCGCTTTGACAAGTTTGGCCTGACAGTGGTTGTTTATTCTGATAGTCAGTAGACTCCCTTATAAAGGGATCGGTTCATTTCAGGAGTCAACCATGGTGCCCCGGTTTTGACCCACAGCCAAATCATCCACTACTTCTACCTTGTGGTGGCACACTCAAGGTTTGATGATGACTGGTGTGTTCAATGCTCTTCGGGCAGGCTTGGACCTGTGGTTTGACTTGACAGCACAAGGCGAGGGTCGGAGGGATTTTTCCGTCAAGGTTCAGTTGGGCAATGTTCGACATGTCCCCAAGCCGAGAGAGAAAGATTGGAAAGGCGCAAAAGGCATCTCGCTTTGCGAACAATGTGCCCTCTCTTTTTCAGCACTTGCCTGTGAACAATGTGCACATTCCAACATGATATATCAATTCCCTGGTGGAACTCTCGGATGGCTCAGCTGAACCCCCCGACCCGAACCAAGGGGAGCTGCACAGCATGGTCCGCTTTGCGGCTTTGCGAGTCCTACTGGCCTTGTCCGAGGCCATGCCCAAGGCAGGCAGGAACTGGGAGGAAGAGTGACAGCTGTTGAACAGCTATTGGCATATTTTTGAGGGAGTCCTGAGTCCAGTCAGTTCCAGCACATAAATAGGAAGAAGCTTGTTTTGTTGGACTCCATGTGTTTTGTTTAACAAGGACTCTTTCCCAGGTCAGGATGCTCATCAAAGCAGATGGCTTACTGCAAAGGCCTTATTTCATTTCGGCACATATCCTGATCCTCCTGTCCCATGCTAGGTCTTGCGAATGTTGAATCTCTTGCGTTCTTCTAGTTCCTAGATAACATTTTGCACACTGTAGAGCAAGTGCTCACAGGGGCACTGGTTCAAGACTAAATCATCCCCAAAAAGCACGTACACATGCTGACTGTCGTAGACCATTCTGTTCTTCTGCGGTTCAATGTAATAGTCAAATGTTAATATAGCTGGTGAGTAATGTGGCTGCATCTTGTGCGGGTAGCTGCGCTAAACAGCCGAAAAGTATATACACGCTGGAAAAGCAGCTGCAATAGCAACAACAACCCAACAACAACAACAACACAACCACGACGACGACGACGACGACGACGGCCGACGACGACGACGACGACGACGACGACGACGACCGCCGACGACGACGACGACGACCGCCGCCACAACGACAGCACCAACCACAGCGACGACAACAACAACAACAAAGACCACAAGATGACCCTTCTGACTTTCTGGGTGAAAGGATTGCTGGGCATAAAGGTACCTCAGCGCTGGAGCTTGGCTGTTCGTGGACAGCACCCAACCATTGACTTGGAGAGGGAATCATCATCAATGCCAACTCTTTTCTCCACTTGTTTTCTACCCTACGTGCAGGCCCTCAACAGGGGACTGAAAACTGTTCAGTGCAGTGAATCTGGGATTTTCTGCTTGTTTGCTCAGCATTCAGCAGTCTTGGGACTGGGCCTTTCACAAGGCCCTGCCTTGAAGAAGCTGTTGTGAACATCGTGTTTTGGAGACAACCCATGGCTTTTGACCTATCCTGCTTGTGCTAACATCTAGGTTGGTTCAAGTCAGGTTGGTATCTACTGGAATTGCTGCAAGGTTAAACCATGAGTTCTGCTCAAGACCCTTTTTCTCTTCACTTGCTGTCGTGCGTGTGGGCCTGGATCTTGAAAAAAGTAAACCCGCCCACCCACGTCAACTGGACTGGTGAGCATCCAAACGGTATAAGAAAGCAACAATTTTGGGTACAATGCGTGGCTCGCTAAATGCAGGATCCGTTGTCACTATCAAATTGAAATGGCTGCAATCTCAAAGCGACTGAAACACACTGAACCTATATTGTTTTCCCTTTGGGGATTCCTGCCTTTTCCTGGGTTTCTATGTTCGTTTGAGCATTTCAAGCCGCCACAATAAGCAACATCCGCACTAACAGTTCTTCGGGGGGGTGGTCGTCGCAGATATTGTAAGATTTTGACTCACAGCAATCAATACAGCAACCAATGTGAGGGCAAAGTTACCCGATGGAATGTGCTGCTTGGAACAAGGGGGTCATGATTTGAAGCACCGATCCAGATGGATGCCAAACTCTTTTTTCGGCCACCTGTTGAGCGGGCGTCGCTCCCTCCCTCTCTCTTTGTCTCTCCTTTGAAGGTTCTATTCTCACCCAATCTTTTGTTTGTGGAGCAAATTTGAACTTATTTTCCTGAAGCACATGTGTTGTCATGTCAAAGCTGTCGTGGGCGTGTTCACGAAGGTGGTTTCTCAACATTCAGCGTCTAGACTTGTCCTTTCGACCAAGCCCCTAAACAATTTTTTGGAAGCATGCAAGGCCAGCGTGGAGGCCTGGCCAAGGCTGGGCCACGTAGAAAGTCGATGGCGCAGGGATTGCCATTTATTTCAATGAAGATAAGTTTGTCCTGAGAATTCATGAGGTGTAGCCTGAGACGGACAAGCACCTTGTGCCGTTTCTCACACTGGATTGTGCTGATTGCCCTTCAGCTGATTGGACCCCGCACGGTCACCAAATGCAGCAAGATGTTGCTGTGACACAAAATCTAGTACTCTTGGTGAGTACAGCACCCTTGATTTGGTCAGGTTTGCCCCACCCAATATGTTTGCGCTTTGTCCCAACACCTTCAGTTCCTGATAGACATGTCAATGTATATACATTCTGCAGCTCGAAGATGCATTTCGAGGTATATAATTCTTGGTAACACATGAATTAGTTACTAAAAACTACAGTAAACCTAGAGTAAACCCCAACACACAATCAGCGAATCAGCATTTAATATGACTGATCAACTGATTGATTGTGCATCCCAACCGAATGTTCAGGGAGGTCGGAGTCCAACTTGTGATGCCATGATAGTGGCACCTCAAAAATAGACTTGGGCTTGTATAATTCATATAATCATATATACACTTTTATACATGTATATATTTCTATGGTTGCACATGGTAGGTGTATATATATAATCATATATATATATATGTTTAATGCGAAGATACATGTTAATGCGCAATATAGAAGGTGTCAGGACAGGGTGTTTGCGGCTTTTCATGATGCAGAATACCCAATTGCTGAGAGCTCTCTTCCAATTTTGGCAGTGACTCAACCAAGCGGGGTGGATGCTGGACATCATCTCAATATATATATATATATTGGTTTATACATTAAACCCGTGCCTGACAAAGCAGTCTAAAGTGAGGTTCGGTGCTGGTGGTAGCATGAACATTATACGGATGTGTGTTGGGTCCACTACCCTGAGACCACAGAGGATTCGCACTTCACTAACACTTCATATTGTTGCATTTTTAGGTGGCAAGTGAGTTTTCGAGTGAGTTACTGGAACTTGACCCCCGATGTGGGATTGTCTCAAAATCCTCCTGGCATACCCCTAGCAAGCCAAGTCACTGGGCAATGGGCCAACTGATAGTGAGACCACTGGCTAGCCTACTGCTAAAGTCAAAGTTGACAACACCTGCGCGGTAACCCATGTAACTACACAGCCACAAACCAACCCTGTTGCCACTGCTTTTTCCGGAGACCCACCCATCCGTGGGAAGCAAGCCAGACCGCCAGGTGGCCAATGCTTCAAAGGCGAGGTGGAATAGGGTCAAAAGTCAAAAGTGTGTTCGATTGGAGATGGTGAGTTGCAGTCGTTTGGTTTGCGTTGTTTGTTTATGTGGTTCTTACTTTGTTAACTAGCTAGTTAGGTAGCTAGTTTGTTTGTTTGCTTGAGATGTTATATTGTTTGCACGTGTGCATGTCTTCTTTGTTGAAAGCAAACGACAAACACATGGTCTCTAAATTTGTCACAATATTCATTCATCCAGCAACATGTCCATCCACCACCGACCCTTGCCCTTGAAGCCTTCTGTTTTGCAGGTCTGGCCGGCGCTGGGATCTACGGGAAGGACGTTTGGCCACCCCATTTGACACTTGAGTCCAAAGGAGCTGAAGTGGTTGAGCCCAAGAAACTCAAGTAACTCAAGGTCTGAGATAGGAATCCTAGTAACAGCAACTCGTTGTGAACCAATCACTTGCGTATTTTGTTGGACCTTAGACAACCTTAACACGCGGTATTTTGCCCCAGTTCGGGCGCGAACGCGCGTATTGGTTGAGTCCAATCCTTCCAAAACGTCGTGTGCTCAAAGACCAAGTTGCCCAAGCTTACGACAGTGACACAGAGGACATACATGTGCAGATGTATTGTAAAACAGCTCGGGTTGCAGATTCTGCTTAGGACTTGTACGGGCGATTTATTTTCTAGTAGATTGGTATTATAGTTTTTTTCCGGAATACTTTGCGTGCCAGATTTGGCTTGTGATACCTCACACCACTTCTGATTTGCCGGCTGCCAGTCTTCGGCAGCATTCACCTTTCGCCTCGTTCGAGTGAGGTGAATTGTGCTGGATTCAGCCTGTACTAAAGTAAACAATCAGGTTGCATTCTTGCAAGGTGTTCAATACTCTTGTGTGGTTGTACGATACATATATATATATACATATTATATTGTTGTTTCGTCTTTTTTCGGGCCATTCGCGGACATGGTAGGTCCATAGGCAGACAAGCCTTTTGGTCAAAGTCAAAGTCCTGTGGTTCCTCTTTTTGTTGATGTTTTCAGTGTTTTTGACCTTTTCAGGACTTCTTCAGCTGCTGGCTGAGGCACTGAGGGACCTGTTCAAATCTCATTTCCCCCCAAAGCCTCCTGGAAGCTTGGGTTCCCCTTTGAACGCCCCAACATAAAAGAACCTTCCAAGACAAAAGCGTCGCAGTATTTGATGCGCGACCTTTGTGAGTTCAGGATCCCAGGTGTATTCGTTTGTTTTTCACAATATGAGGTTTCACTGTTTCACGTGAGGAGCAAAACTTCAAGAGAGCAATGTGAGCTAGATTTGTTTGGATGAGGAGTTCTTCCCTGCGAACGGACGCTCCAGAAACAGCAGGTAAAAGGCAAACTAGAGCAACATCGACTGGTTTCAAGATCATGCTGGAGTTGTATGCAGATCCTCCGCAAAAATGTGAACAATGCCAGCAAGTACAATCGGAAGCGAGTCAAAGTGCACTCAAGACACTCAGGACAAAATGGAGTGTGAGTGTGACATAGTTTGAGTTTTGAATTGTTTGTTCATTGATTGCTCTACCATGAACAAAAGACCCTCATCATTCTTCAAGGTACCAAGAAGCTTGCTCCCAGATTAACTGGCCACACATCTATGACTCGCATCTAATGACTGGCCCCTTTGTGTGTGTACGTCAGAATCTTCATCCGGTCGTAGAATCGGCATCGGCAGCCTCAATTCGTTGCTGACACGCAGCAACACAGCAACATATTGATGTGTTCCCTTTGTTTTGCTCTAGGCAGCGCAATCACTTACATTTTGGCTTTGGCCCAGTTCCCCCAAACCTGAGCCACATAAATACTAGGTTCAATGAGGTCAATATTACCTATAATATCCTATAATTATGTTTGAACCAACGCTGTGGGCGCTGAAATCTTAGTGACTGATAGTGTTGCAAATACTTGCACTGGACTAGGGTATGCCCGGATGGATTGACAGGCTTTTTGTGTCTCAAGATTTGCAGGAGGATTGGCGGGCTGCAGCTTTGTGCGAAGCAGAGTGAGACCTCTGGGGGGGTTGAAGATGTGCTCTTAGAGCCATATCTTCATTCGGGCGCAAGTTGGGATTATAACTTGCGGAGAAAACAAGTTGCTGACCTCAGTGTTTGGGGACCTCAAGATAGCATGTAGAAAGCTGCTCAGATTGGTGCCCAGATCTTGGATTTAGGTTTTACTGTTCCTGTTCCCATCCATCATTGGAAGACTAATGTCACATGGGACTGGCAGGGCATTTGTTAGCTTTCTGGAGCTGTATACGGGAGGGGTTGCCCATCCTTGCGGTTTCTTCTCACAAGCTCAAAGTGCATGTTAGCTTTCACTCTCCACGCCAACCATCCATCGAAGGTACACTGTCTCTACCTCTAGCATAGATGAAGGATAGTCCTTTCCCAAATCAAGTATCAATAGAACAACACCTTTCTGATGGGTCAGGGGCCTGAACCAGGTCCTTGGTCCTTGCTGATGCCACGTTGTGCTTGCACGCTGCAGGAATTCAAGAGGACCGTCCGAAGTTGCAAGCACACTCTGACCTACAGCAAACCTGAGCAGAGAGAAAGGAGCACAGCACATACTTCAATGATCTTTAAAGCACATGCATATAGGATATTGGAAATGTTGCAAAGCAAACGTGGTGTTCCGAAAACCCTTTAGTTGAGGAACAATTGGGTCAAGATTTGCGTGTTCTTGTTCTTTGGCCAAGCCAAGTTCTCCATGTTAAAGATATTCTAAGTGCATTTGCAGCCACAACGTGCTATTCTCAGCCACCCTATAAAGACAGCAAGATGTGCATCACCTGTTTTGGTACTGTGATTGGCGGTTTGATGCCCTTTAGCAGCTAAAGTTTAGCAGATTGCTACTGGCACAATAGGTTCCAATGCTTTCGCTTTGCTTCCATGCTGTGTGACTGCTATGGAAGACTCACGGCCGACTTGACCTTAGCCTGATACTTTTACTTGATGCTTGCCATTTGGTATGCCATATGACTTGCAATGTGTGTGTGTTTGTGTTATCTAGTTCCTAAAAAAAAGAAACATGTTTATTGCATGTTACAACTGTATAGTGCCATGCATAATACGACACGAGCTCAGCGAGCTCAGCATTGGGTTGCGTCAAGCTCACAATAACATGCAGGGTAGCTACAGATGACGGATGTTGAATAAACCTGGTAACCCCTGCTCTTGTGCTCAGCAAAAGACAGCTGAAAGCATAGTGTCCTTTTTGGGACTTTCGACACCCGGGCGACCACATGTTTTGGGTGACAACTTGGAACACTTGATTTCTGTCTTGGCAGAGGTCACTTCTGCTGAAGGCCAATCGAGAGATTGCAGAGGCGGTGTCAGAAATCATGAAGGGTGTGAAAGTAACACTTCGACATGAGCTGCTAGATAGTACCTGACCCCATGTCTTGAAAAAGATGAGGAATTTGCTCAGCTGATATGTGGATGCATCATCTATGAGCTTACCAAGGGCAATAGGAGTCTTGATTGTTCCAAGCTAATTATATATTTGATGAGTCAGAATTCAATATTCAACCTTTCCTTTTTAGCACTGAGACATTGGAAAGCTCATGCTGGTTTTGAAAGCTTGAATTAATGAGGGGACTTCTGTCAAAAATGATATAGGATGAGGCATTATGGAGCTTGCTGCCAGTCAAAGATGTTGATGTGATGAACATGATGAACGTGTGGATTACTATTTCGTCTCAAGAAGAGCAAAACACAAGTCCAGGGTCCAGAGAATGCCCAAGAATAGCTCAAGGGCATGACCCATTGTGTAAACTTATATACATATCATATACACATTACATATCATTACATAAATCATCATAAATCATTGTATATACATTATATACATTGTATAGTAAACGAAGATCATTCTTGTGAGAGGAAACATGTGTTTGAGATTCCGGAAAGTCGCCATTGGACGCAATCAGAGTCAAGTAACTATGCCTGCATTGTACATCAGCAGCTGCATTTTACTGAAGCGGTCTACGGCATGCTTTGTATGTATGTTTCCTTTTCCTACATCATAATTTTCCCCGGAACGAGATTGGGCCCTTCAAAAAAAGGGATTCCTTCATTGATCACATCCGCTGAGGCCATGTTTAAACTTAGGGGTACATGCCAGGAGAACCAATGTGGTCATGTAAGCATAACACGCGACTTGCTACTAGAGTATACCAAAGTCTGCTGAAACTATATACTACCGTAGGTCTACTGTAGTATATCATCTAGACGATATGAGCCCCTTGAAATAGATAGTGCACATGACTGCAGAAACTAAGACAGTAATTCTGCCCCACTCACACATACTTTAAAACCGATGCGTATTTTTAGATGGATTGATCCTGCTAATCATTTAGATTCAGGACAACCGAGTGGCTTTGCATTTGCTCTATTCCTGGATCCTACAGTAGGTGGACAGTAGGTGTTTCAGAGGTCCAGCAAAGCGTCGTCACGCATACAGTACATGGGACATTCCACCAGAAAATGTGTGTTTGATTCGGGTGCATATATGCTGTCCCGACCTGGGATTGGCATCAAAGCCATTCGATTGATTGGCTCGGCCAATGTCGATCGCTACAACCAATCAATAGTATATGAATACGATGACAGAGGCAGGCACAAAGAACAAGCAGGAACAACAAACTGCTCTATCCAAAAATGCTCGCCTCACATTGCTCAGCTTTGTAACTATAGAAGCTCTGATGTAGGTCAAGGCTCCGGTGGCCATTGATGCCCCGATTGATGGAGCAGAATGAAGAAGTTACCGAAGCCCACTCCAGAAGCTAGCGCAGTGTGCTGCATGTGCTTCGCTGGCGTTTTCTCATAACTTTGACTTGCTTGGGGTTACTTGCGGCACCCGCGGATCAGAAGAATTGAAGCTGTTTGGTTGGCTCACTGAAATGGTGTCCTGCAACTCCACCCATTTCTTGTCAATATTTGTGCGGCGCTGCAGTTGCGCATGTGACAACCTACTACATTCATGGACTCAGGCACCCATGCAGGGTCTTTCTCACCAAAAAGTTTCACTGGGAATATTTGGGGCATTGTTCAGGCTGAAAAGTACAGGTGCCTGAAAGACTCTTGGGAGAGAGGCTGCATGCCTTGTGACATTGGAAATGACTTGATGAAAGGTGAGGGAAGAGCTCGCCAAGCTAGATGTGCGAGTGGATGAGATCCAGGCTGGGATTGTCGCCCATCCTCAAGTTTTGGAAGTTGTTTTGAAAGATGATACTATGATATTAAAACAGATTAATACTGGAAATGCAGGCATTGAAGATGGACCTGAGCTAAAAGGAAACAATCATTGAAGAACAATGTTCTTGCTGGTCGGCTTCTGGGGATTGCAAGCAAGTGAGCCCATGAAGGACGCGGCACGAGTACCAGGTACTAACCCGAGATGATTCGACATTGTTGTGGCATAAACAAAGTATTTAGGACTTGCGCGTAGCATTACAACTCTTGCTGTACAGATGTGCGCAACTCCAATCCAAATACTTACATGTTTAACCAGACCATACCTCATAATGGAGAACAGCTCGATGTCGGCATCATTCAACTCGGTGTTTTGACAATTGTCTCTTTTTTGCGGTGTTGGTTTTGTTGTTTTATGTTGTTCTTGGACCACAAACTGATGGATCGTTCCCTGCGCTCCGTGGCATAGATCGAAGGCCAAAAACGCCAACTACTTGGAAGAGATTTCCTTGCAAGACAGCGAGGCACAAGCAGTTGTACCGTACAATGCGTGAACACGCTCAGAGCAGGTTTTTTCTGGTCGATGCAGGGCAGAATCAGGACCCTGTAAGCGGCAGGTTGTTGACTTCACAGTAGAGATGGTGATGGGGTTTCCCCAAAAATCTAGGAGTCAAAGGAGCGCTTCTTCAAGTTAAGGAAGCTCCCCCGCCCTCAGGCGGGAGGAGCTTCGTTGAAGAAGTGTGAGCTATCCTGCGTCTATATGTAGGAGCGTTCCATAGCTACGAGCTTACTCTCTTACCAATTAAGTAGGCGCCTACTTAATTAAGAAAGGAGGCAGGGCCACGGGCTAAGAAAAATGATTGACCTGGGAGGGTTAGTGTCCTAGATTACGAAGTCTTTCTTTGAAGTCAACAATTCATTGCCGCACTGCCCACATGAAAAGTTCTGGTCATGCACGCAGATCCAACACGGACCTGAAATCAGAATTATACGTGCTTTGGGGTTGTTTGCTCTTGCTTGGATGAGTTTACCCATGAGGCCCTTGTGCTTGCATGTTTGTTGAGCGATGGCTCTCCCAGAGAAGGGTTTGTATTATGTTTGTCATGAGTCATTGGGGGATTACACCACCAAATTTGTCACATTGATTGGTCAATGTGGTGATAGTACAGTATCTTTTAGCCGCGTTTGTCAAAGTATGTTTGCGACTTTTTGGGGAACACCAGTAGTGTGTCGTCTCCTTGTCCCGCAGATGTTGTATCGTTTTAGTTGACACCAAAAACAGGATCATCAACATACGTTTGCTTCACGACACTTAAATCTTTGAGGGTCACGGATATTCTCAACGTTTCTGGGTGTTTATTGGTCCATTGTATGACAGCCGAGTTTCTCTTGGAGATGATTGCAACATTAGCATTTGACAAATACGTTTGTATACATACATATGTTATAATATGCCACCTCGGCTAACTCACTGGCTGCCTCTATAATTTGTTGGTTATGGTGACATGTGTATATCTATAATCTATACATACCGAGAGCCTGAGTGACCTTCATTTTGAACCACCAACCACCCAAACACATGTTTTCCCCTATCAAGACAGAGGTCAAATGGGCTTTAGATCCTTAAATATAGTATATAATATTAATGATTATATATATATATGCTCCAGAATGTGTGAGCTGCAGGAATGGCGCACAACATCAATGAAAGTAGGGTGGCACATGTTGAACGGAAACGGTTCCTGGTCGCAAACACATGCAAACACCATGGAAGAAGACATCACAAAAAC